CCTTCCAATCCAGCCTTGCTAAAGCTGGTCCAGTCCTGCAGGAGGTGCTGATTTTGATGAATCAACATTTTCCAGTGAAAAACGTGGCATCTGCAATTTCCCAACCCGTTCTAATTGAGAGCATTCAGAAAAAGCAAACAAACAAACAAGCAAACCAAACAATGGCAGGGGACAGGCAACTGGCTGCGCCACTCCGAAGAGCTGTCTTGGCTGGAGCTTTGCTCCATGGGCGGTTACAGCAGCTCTCTGCCTCTCCTCAGGTCTCGGGTTTGAAGCTTATTGCTTTGCAGCTTCTTTCTCGGGGAAACTATTTATGGTTTAGCAGAACCAACTGGCAGAGAGGGGTGGTGTTTCCAGTTTCCTGTCCCTAGTTTTTATGTGTTCGAGGTGCAGGCTGCCATCATGGTCAGTGCTCCCACGACTGCTCAGTGGGCTCTTTATGAGCACAGATGGTCGGTCGTATTTTAGATGTCTCCCTTAGGAGAAGCATGGTTACACCCAAGGGCTCTGGAAAGAGCCTTGGTCACCAGCTGAGAGCAAGCTCTCTACGCCAGAGACATCTACCAGGAAGGTGGTCCTACCTGTGACATCAGAGTAACACACCACAGCCTACGTGTTCAGTTATATTTCCATGCTGCCCTCTTGTGATTGGCACTGCCTCCAATAAAGATATTCCTGTTCTTTCCCTCATTTCCCCATGCAAACAGCTGGATTTCAAGCCGGCACTGATGTAATGGTCTGGGAAGCTTCCCTGGGTATTTCTGTCCAGAAGGCAGGAACGCCTGTGGATTAACATGTCCCGCGGTAGACGCAGGACTCGTGGCGCACCGGGATGGGATTTTCATCTTGCTGCACGGTGGCTGGCTGTTCACATTCATGCTGAACACTTGGACGTTGTGAGGAAGATTTCTGAAATGCAAAAGCATCTCCGTTTTCACTAACGGGGTCTCTAGACTCCTCCAGTCCATGCCCATCCTCGGTCAGTCAGAGGTATGTTGAAAAGCCCCATGGAGATTTTGACTGAAGCTATGGGAGAAATGGAGCAGACTCCAAGCATCTTGGATATGCCTCTGCCAAGCGACACTTGTGAATGATCTCCGAGTCGGGGCAAGGTCTGAGGAGGCTGCCATGATTTCTGGAAGCAGCCACCGGCCTTGCATTTTGCTCGGCGTTGTTTGCTTCCTGCTCGTCTCTCTCTCCTCTCCCTTATTCTGCCAGCCCTCTGTCTTTTACTTCAGCATAGTTTTTTTGATAATGTCTCAAACCCTAAAATAGACTGTACCCCTTACCCTCTATTCCCTCCTCTCTCCTCCCTTTCCAAGCAGCAGAGGAAAGCAAGATTACAGGAAAACGTTACGGAGTGACTCATGTATCCCATTCCTAGAAAAGCCAGACAAGTGTTTCATAGACGGTTAAGGGCAATTCTGACTTGTGCTGAGCAAATTGCGTATGTACTCACTTTCCACAGAAAGTCTTAGGAAACCTGGCCCATAAACCTACCCTCTCACTGGCCCCCAGCCGAACAGGGAGCGGAGGAACGAAGAGGCGCCACCAGCCAATTTCAACCCCAACAATGTTCATTCACAATCAGAAGTGGCTGAAGGCTATCCACCCCTCCAATCTGGACAACCACCTGGGAATTTTCTGGCAAAAGAGGATCTTGAAGGAAGATATCAGGTTGTGGAGACAAATAGTTCATGAAACATCTAGGTTTCAGTGTTTCAGGCCAAAACTGTAAGAAGGATGCTCCTGGACACTTGCCTGGTTTCTTGTCCATCTAATGACAGCTTAGGACTCTGAGTTTCCAAACACTGTACCTCCAGGGAGCTGAAGATCCCCCAGCTCTGGGGCTTTGAACCTCCTGAATGTAGAGGGGAAAATCTGAAAGTCCCAGCAATCCCCAGTTTAGTGACAGCTCCTTCTGAATCAAATGGACATGCTAGTTTCTCTAAAAACCCATTTTTTACAGAACGAAGAAAAAGTTTTCCTTAGAAAATTTGTAGCTTTGTCCTCTTCCTTGGGTTCAGTTCTTGGCTCTATTACACGCTTCTTTTGCCATCTGGGTCACTTAAGGGTGTTCGTTTTTTGTGCATGTAAAACAGTGAAAGTATTAGATACTTGTTCACATCATATATTTGCCTGATACCCAAAACCTGTGGGGCTGGCTCCAAGCTACCATCTGGAATACAAAAAGGAAGACCCTCCTCTCGTCTTAGCTAGACAAGTACACTTACGGCAACAGTAGTGTGGATATGTGTAAGAAATGTCCCTTCTACCTCCAGTGGCTGGCAGAAGGGACTAAAGCAAAACATAGGGTACTCTTGAAAATTTGCAGAAGTGCTAATGCTGTGGGTGCTCTCCTATAAAAATCACCAGCTTATACAATAAAAATGGCTATGAAACCTTTTCTGTCCAGACACCAATGTTTCACTCAATCTTGTTGAGACTAAGTGCTCTAAATAGACCGGAAAATAATTTCACCTGCTGGAAAACAGTGGATGGGTAGTCCTCTGTAAGAGGAGAGCATAATCCATCCAGGGACGAGGGAAAGGCAGAGGTATCTCCGCAGGACTTGTCTATACCCCCTTCTTCCAGCTTTTTCCATCACCACCATATAGCATTTGAAAACACATAAATATCAATCCAGCAGTTGGGCACATGAGGCCATGCCCCCTCCTTCACCACCTCTTTTTCATCCTTTTTTAGGGCTACCAGCCTTTTCAATCAGGGGACCCATACGATTTTATCACAGAGGTATGTCCAGCAGGTATGTCTGATGACAGAGCCTCTTTGCTTACCTGCCTTTCACGGGCCCAGGAGCAGATCGCTGGCAGGTATGTCCAGGATCGCAGTCCTAGGTGACATGGGTCCTGGTCCCAGACTGTCTTCCAGCAAGTCTCAGGTTTCCAGCTGCAGAGCAGAGCAATGTCCCATGAGGAAGACTTGTTGCACGTGATGCTCCTCTCCTCAGACGTGCTTTCCCCAGAGATCTTGCAAGAGGACTGAGTGGCTGTATCTCCTCTCTGCCTCCAGGCTCAGGGACACTTCTCCTTGGGGCTGATGGAGCATGTGGGATTGCTGGAACCACATTACGTGCCCAAATATAACGATGGCTTTACCATGAGTAATAGCTCTGGTATTTTTACTGAAATAACTTGAATTGTGGTGATCTCATGGGGCACTAGCACAGCTAGAAGAAGTGCTTCTAGAGGGTCTCCTTTAGAAACCACCAGAGTGATACACTACAAGGCTTGGCGGGAGCCAAGTAACTCGGAAACAGTAAACTTCTTGCTATGCTTTCATAACCACAAAATTTTGGCCCAAGGCTCCCTGTCACAGCTGCAGGCACTGCTCCTGGGAATATGCAGTGGGGCCGGGTGAAGGGGGAACCGTGGGGAAAGAAAGGTGGACAGAGAGGAGAGGTGCGTGGACAGAGTGGTCTGGCGGCTGGAGGAGAGGTCCCATGTACGAGGCTCTCCTGTAGCATGAGGGAGACCGTATGGAGGGTCCTTGAGAGGGTCGTGCTTTTTGATTTCCTACTGCATGGCCACGCTCTTCCTTTTGTCGGTTCTTCCCGTACCGCCTGGACAGGCGGCTGCTCTTCTAGCCTTTCAGCTTGCAGCAGTTTCGCTAGACTTGCGTTCGTGCTGGAAGCGGGAGCTGAACTCCTGGGAGGGACCAGAAAGGCAGTATCCGTCCACAGGGCTTCAATAGTGGAAGAAGCTGTTAAAACCACAGTCTCCTCCCAGACTGGCTTTCAAAAACTGCCACCAGCAAAACTCAGCCGGGCCCGCTGCTGCTCTGCCAGGTTGTGCATGGCTGCAGGTGGATGGACACTGCCATGAAACACCTGGTTATCGGCAATCTCCAATTCCTCAAGGATGTCTGTGCTTCAGAGCAGAGGTGACTATGCTTTTGGGAGCATGTTTCTGGAAGCCCCTGCTCTCCTAAAGCAAAATAGCACAAATGAATCTCCCAACTCCACCAGGATAAACCCCCAGGAGGGAACACATCAAAGCAAGGTACCTTGTGGCACAATTTACCCTCTGGACGTGACATGCAGTGTGTTGAGACTGGACCTGCAAGTGTCAGGGCACCCCTGGTGTGAGATATGCACCCTTGCTCCATGAAAGGAGGAGGCACAGAGAAAGCTGGACTTGTGGGTGCAAAAATAACAGAGAATGAAAATGGTCCAGCAGACAGCATTACCCCGCTCGAGGATTGGCAGCCACTATGTGGGCTGCATGCACCACAGCTCAGCCGCAAACGTCGACAGCAATCAATGTGTGCCGGCGGCAGACAGCTCAGGGAAACTCCTTTTGGCTGAAATCTGCTTTCTGTACATGATTTGTCAAATACTTGTGAATAACAAGCACGTCCTGCTAAAGGACCCTGCTTGGGCCACTGGCAGAGGAGAGAACTGGATACACTTTCTAAATTGGTCATGGCGGTTGGCCATGATTTTCCTCTGTACAATTAACAGATGACTTAATTCTTTGCTTAATCTGAACTGTTTCCGTCTTGTATCTGAGGAAGTTCAGTTTCCCAACTGCTTTTCTATATATGGGCTGTGAACTGCAGGAAGTTGGTCAGCATGAAATTTCCATAGATATGCCTTAGCAATATTTCCCTAGAAAGATAAATCTCATTCAGATCTTCTGCCCTCTCCACCGCATCCACAAGGCACCACGGATACTAGGGTGCTCTATGTACCCACTTTAGCACTGTGTAATCCTCCTTCCTAAGTCCCAGGCAGTTCATTTGGATGGCAGAAAAATAGTGTTAAACAATGGGTTGCTCCAGGCCTATCTGCCTTACCAGAGCACAGACAACAAACTCCTGAAATAAATGCTAATGCCCCCACCCCAAGAGATGGATGCATTAAATGGCACAATGCTTTGAACAGATTAACAGCGTTTATTCAGTTGCTTTGAAGGTGCAATAGTGTAAGTGCGCGTTTCTCCCTTTCACCCACGTTCTCCCCGCTGCTGGCCTCTCTGCTAGTTGCAATAGTTTTCCAGTTGGTAGAGGGAGCACGTGTTATGGCAGCATTGCTCAACAATTCCTCTCTTCACTTTCTCATATTCCTCCTGCTGGAACGGCAGCTCTTCTGCCTCACCACGCAATGGCCCGCTCACTGCCAGGGAGAAAAAAAAAAGATAAGCCATGGGACTCCATGCAGCATCAGTCCTGGCTATCGAGCTCTGCAGAGGGAACCTTTTAGACACTGGCATTGGCCGGAGCAGGCCGGAAAATAGGAGGACCATTGCAAAGATTTCTCCACACTGATGCTGTTTGTAGCACCTTTGGCCTCTGTGTTTCCTCTCCCGAAAGAATCGGATGGTGCGTGAAAGGAGCCAAGCCGCGTGGATATTGGCAGCGCGAGGGACAAAGGGATACGGAGGTTTTATTGAGGCAGGCATGCGGAGAAGAAGAGAAACCCTGTGCCCTCCCTGGGGTGAGCAGCTAGTAAATAAGATGGTAAAATGGGCTTGTCTGCTCCACAGGGATGAGATGCTTGGAAGCGCAGCCCCCCCCTTTGGGCAGTGAGCTGTTCTTCTGGGAGCCGGACCAAACAGCGGCGACGTCTGTGGGACAGCAAGGAAGAGTTCATCCCAGGGCTGCATGCATTTCCCAGCTGGTCCTGAGCAACTTGCTCCTGCTCGCTGCCTGGATATAGCCTAGAGCCGATAGCAGAAGCATTGTGTGTGTGTCCGTGCTCACAGCTGGGGACAAGTTTTAAAAGGAATGCCAAGCTGGGGTATTTAGACACACACAAAACTCGACAAAATGTGTCATTTGCTGGTGGGAACTTGAAAACTTGTCAAGAAAACTGTTCGGGTTTTAGTTCTCCACCGAAAACACAGAAAATGGCAAATAAAACAGTGATTTTCCTGCAGGAAGGAAAGAATAACCTGATAAAAACAGTTGTTCCAAGGCTTGGGCGGGTTGTATGGCTAAATCAGGAGGTCTTCAGTGACTTCAGTACAAAAAGAAACTGCACAGAAAGTGAGGATAAGATGAGGTTTCTAGGGCAGTATAAAAGTATAGCACAAGATGCAAAATCCCAAAGCCCCCAAAGCATAATGTAATGAGCAAGACCCAAGAGTGACAAGAAATCATTGTATTAGTGTGCTGGGAGGAAAACTTAGAAAAGATTTATTCCAACATTTCGTGGAAGAGGATATATCTAGTGGATATTTCATGATTTACTCATCTTCATCCTTCAGGTCAGCTGGGAGAAGACAGTAAGTACAAGCAGTTCATGTGACAGAGAGGCATTAGCTCAGGCTAAAATACTGGAAAAAAAGAGCTAGAAAGTTCTTAGACCTTTCAGACTGGTTGGCTTTAATGAAATTCTCCCTACAGTATTTAGACAAATGGATAAAAAAAACTTTCAATCCATGTGTGATGGTCTTCAGAAACTTCAAAAACAAATCAAACAGCCCATCTGGCCTTTCAGAGTAAACCATAGCAAACCAACTACTTGTCTTCTATAACGTTATCTTGCTTCACCTTCCTAAGACCTCTAAGACTATTTCACAGGACAGTCACATATATATACGTATGTATATGCATATACGGATACAAATGAAACCTCTATTCGGTGGGAGGAGAGCGGGTGGGACAGCTATATTGTAGTTAGGGTAGGTGATGTAATGGCTCATCTTGAAGCTAGAGGGTTAAAATGAGTGGGACTTGGCGGTGGTCTCTTCTGCACCTGGTCCTGTTCAAAATCTCCATTAGTAACTCAGAAGATGGAGGAGAGAGTGTACTTGCTGAATTTATAGAGGACATGAAGCTGAGAGGAACCGCGAGTACCAGTCTCCCAGGAGAGACATCATCCTTGCATTACAGCTTGAGCACTGCAGGTCCTGGCTGTGTCTAGACATGAATGGAAAACACAGCGTTCAAAGGCAGCTGTCCAAAACGCCTCATCCCACCTACGTTCACTTTCAGATATCAAGTGCTGGAACCTGGGGCAGAGATTCGGCACGGAGGGGGCTGCAGCCTGCGTTTCTGTCCGAGTCCTGCCTCTCCAGCTTTTGCAGGGGACAATGAAGTAAAAGGTAAAAAGATTTCAGTTTGCCACAGAGCATTTTCAGTTACTGTAGCAATATTTTGTGCCTGAGACCTTACACAGATTGCTATTGTGCTTAACGAAATAAATACAAATTCTGTCATTCTGTGTCTTCCGATTTCCCTGTTCCTGTTAGCGTTCAGGTGGGGGAAGCGGCTGTTGGTGGTGGATGGATGCAGCCAGTGGAGAACTTCTCTGCCTCCAGGGAGAGGAGGCAGTGGCACAGGAATCAGTCTGAGGATTATCCCATCATGAGAAAGGCTGTGGCTCCTGTGCAATACTCTAGCCCTCTGGGTCCCACCTCTGATGTCACTGCACCTACACCACCTGATTGTCACCAAGCCATGGAAATGCAGCGTTTCCAACAGGTCCCTGTATGGCACAATGCCCCAAATACCATTCCTAAGTAACAGCTCAGGAATAGTCGGATACAGAGCACTGAAGTTGTATTTTTTACTGTTATGTTTCTCTTCTGCAAGTCTGTTTCCAATTTTGAAATTTAACTGTTGATAGAAGACATTTGCTCTCTGCTTGCAGCTCCTCAAGAGTTCAGACTAGATCACAAGTGAAACTGAGAAGCACAGGACATGCTGTTTCCCAGACAAAAAGTTCAGATGAAGCATTTAGGACAAGTTCAGGAATCTCCAGAGCTGTTTGGAAGCTGGTAGCTTCCAGAGTGGGATTAGAGAGAAACGCCCGCCTTGGTGGGCTGCAGTCTAGTTCATCTGGAGGCAGGGCAGGTGACAGAAAGCAGAGCATCTCTGTACTGAAAAAACTGCATTTCCCTTGCTACTGATTTACAAAACAATTGCTCCACTGGAAAAAAAAAAAAAGCAAAATAAACAAGCAAACCCACCTCATTTCTTTTGATTTTGCAGAATGGCAGCTTTTTGTTTTCTTAATCTGCTATACACGGTAAGGTTAAGATGGACACTGGCTCCATCACAGCATACTCTAGCTGATCCATTTACTGCCATGAAATAAGAGACAATATAAAGCTCTGGGAAGCTTGCTGAAGGGCAAGATTAGAATTCAATATTACCTTGGCAAACTATAGACACACTCTGAAAAGACGGGCTGCCATTCATTAAGAGTCAGGTAAGATGCTAGACGGAGGCAGGAAGACTCCATTGCGCCCACAGGACAAGGGATGGACAGTCCTTCAAGGACTGCTGGTGCATCGGAGGGAGAGCCAAAGGACTCCAGGGAAACAACCGTCGCTGCCAGTCAGCAGTGCAGTGCTGCTTTGAAAAAGGCAAACCACACGCATAGGCAGGAAAACTGGATGAAAAACATGTGACTTCATTCTTCCACTTTCTTCTTCACTCTACTTGATGGTGGTAAGGCCTCGGCTGGACTCCTGTGCACTTCTCCAGGCATCAGAGTTCAATAAAGATGGGGACCAAATTGAGAATGATTGGCACAGATAGAGATCTAGAAAATATGACCTAAGAAGGCACATTGGGGAAGCTGGGGAGGGGTTTAGCTGAAAGCACGTTAAGGTTAGGCACGGTAACGGTCTCCAAGTATTTTGAAAAGTAGCCATAAAGAAGAAAGCAGCAGACTCTTGCCATGTCCACTGTGAAGAAGAAAAGGAATAATTTACAGCAAGGGCCATTCAGGTTAGATATTGGGAAGAAACATTTCAAGTCAGTCTGAAACAGTCAGTTTCAGAAAGCAGGAGGGTCTTCCTCACTGGAAGTTTTTAAGAGCATGCTAGATGAGCATGGGTTAGGAATGGTACGGGAATAACTGACCCTGCCTTGGGGCAGAAGGAGGGCTTCTTGAGTTCCTTCCACCTTTATTTTCTATGATCACTTCCCAGCCTGTGTAATGGCCACACAAGGCTGAGATGGGTGCTGTTTTCAACCTCTGATTTCCAAGAGACGGGTGGACAAGCTTAAGATTTCAGTGACAACTCCTTCTGCCTCATAAATCCCCTTTCCCTGCCTGCCCTCCCACCCACCTTTTTAACCTGAGGAGATTTTCATTGGCAATATGATGTTGTTGGTATTTTAAAGGTATTCCTGGCATTCACCGTTGAGGACATTCCTGGCATCACTGTCCAGGATAGGCAGTTGCCTTTTACACCAAATAGTATACAACCATGGTCACAGTCAGTGGCTGGATTCCTGGTTGCTACCAGAGAAAAGGAGCATATTACTGTAATTAATCCCTAGCCCTGTGCTGCACACACTCCTCCTGTCTGTGCAGAAGGGCACCTCTAGCATATCTGGGCCTCCTCTTTTGTCACAGACCAGCCTGGAGGGAGAAGTAGCTTGTTACAACCGAGCAATATCTTCACCAAGTGTCTACACATAACATATGAGTTCCTGCTTGAAGACAACACGTTCGAACAGTGAAAGAGCTGGCAAGGTACCTTACCAGGCTGCTGGGGAGCTCTCACTTACCTAGAGGCTGTTCAATGTCCCTCCGGGCTTTGGGGGAGTAGAAGAAGCCCCGCTCTCCACACACCAGGTAGAGAGCCTCCACCAAGTGGGAGCCACAGAGGTGCTGGTTGGCAGCTGCGTGGCTGGTCCCAGGGCCAGAAAGGGCCAGAAGGACCAGGAGAGGCAGAGATCGGATCCAGAGAGCCATAGTGACCAGGGTGAGACCTGGGGGTAAGAGGGAGAGGAGAGAGTGGGAGGCCTGCAAGGGAAAATTAAGTTGTAATCAAACACGTTAACACTTCAGCCCCTTTAGCACAAACCTGAGACCAAAGAAAGAGATGGGCCCTCTGAAGATCCTCTGGCTGGAGAGGGAAGGACAGCTTTATATGTCAGGCTTTGCAAGTCACAGTACATGACTAGTAATTATAGCCGACCGTCCGTATCCATCCACATGCTCCTGTCAGTCCTGGTCCCCCTGCTCACTTCCCGCAAAGAGTGAAACTGGGCCCCAGTTGCCTACCTATGGGGTACCCAGCAGCAGCAGCTGCCCCCGCATCCCACCCCTGGCTCTGAGCTCTGGGGCAGTGCCCTCAGGGAGACACTCTGCAAAATTTGCAGGATTACAATCCAGGTGTCTTTTCCAAGCAGAATCTGTGACTGCGTGCAGAGGGCATCCCTCAGGCTTTGTGTTAGAGAGTGCAGTGCAAGCTTAAATCTTGGATCTATCAGCACTGGCAAAAACTGCTCATCCCTGAGGTTGGACTGCTGATGGGGGGCCTGTGTGCTGGAAGACTCACTGCGCTGAGCCCTCTAACGTGCCTGCCCAGGAGAGCAGAGATCAGCGGACACCTTCAGGGGAAAAACCCTCTGTGCCAAGTCAGAAGGGGCCGTTCTTTGTGAGGGCCCAAAAACAATATAATGGGCTCAAAGACCTGAGAAGACCTCATTTTCTCGGACTAGCAAGCCAACACTTCTCACTAGCAGCTACATTCACTTGAGAAAATAGCTCCACAAAACACAGGTAAAAGCTAAAAGGGAGGTTATCAGACTTACCCAAAGAAGTGGCAGCAAGGGATGGAGAGAAGTTTGCTCCCAGAGGTGAAGACTGTTTGGTAGCAATTTCCCCATCCTCTGTTTCCCATATTTATATGTTTTACATTAGCCCAAATGACACAAGAGCTAATGAGAAGTCTGCCTTCTCAGTGACGCCTTAGCCAAAATTTTTGCTGTTTGGGCACATTAAGTTCTCTCTACGTAGCACCAACAGGTCTTTTGGCAAGTTAAGATAGAAGCAACAGTTTGCAGTTTCCATCTCATTTGGTCTGACCTGTTTTTGCTTCCCTGCAGCTCTGTCCTGAGCCATCAGCGACCCTTTTAGCAGGAGATAATGGTGCTATTACAGCTGTAGTGATTACACTAATGCTGGCAATAGGTACTGCTGGCATTGAGGTGGCCAGCAGCCTGTCTGTCTCAACAGCTGTTTCTGAAGTGCAAAATTAAAGGCAAACATGTTAACATGTTTGATTAACATCACCTCAGCGAGTATGCAGCAATGGGACCAAGTTGTCAGTGAGACCATGCCACTGTCAGGTGTTAGAGGAAAGAAAACACATTATTGCAGTGAAGGCTATCTGAGGCCCCACTCACAGCCCACGCAATGCAGAGCTGGACACATACACCCAGGGCTTGGGCTGGGCGAGGAACAACATCTGCATTTTGCAGGAAACAGTGGATGATGTTTTTAGCTCAGTGTGGGGTCAAAATTAGACATTTTTAAATTTTGCATTAAGAAAAATAAGCCTTTCTCCCTTCATCCCCTGAAAGGCAAGTTCCTTCCTTTATCTGAGAAGTACCAATTCATATTCCTGTTTAGAATTAGAAATGCAATCTCTGCCTTTTACAGGTGAGAGTTCTGGATGCCCTGACTTTTCTGTTTGTGGATCTACTAGAAACTCTGTCTTGGACACCAAGAAACGTTTCCAGTAAATTCCAGTGAAATAGCCTGCTTCAAGCAATTGGCAGTCTTCCATGACAAAAAAAAAAGTTATCAGAAATGTTTCAGCTAAGGCTGTCCTATTGATTTGTTGGCTGAGGTGGCTCAGCTGACCATGTTCACACCTTCCAGCCAAAGTTTGCAATGGGACCTGAGCTTGTAGGTGATCTTATGTGGTAGGAGAGCAAAGAACCCTTCGTGTTTGTCTTCAGTGGATATGTATCTTGGGGCCAAGCTCAGGTACTTCTTTTAACTCCTCAGCTTCTCCACCAGCTCAGGAGAAACATCACTTCACAAATAGCACTTCGCTGTTGACAGCAGGCAGAGCAACTACCATGTTTAATGCGAGCCATTGCAGTGTGCACATTTTCTCTTGTTAATGTGAGCCAAAATTGGCTTATCTGAGTTGGGTCTGTGATGCTGTTATATGTCCTGAGAGGACAGGCTGTGGTGGGCTATTGAAGTTCAGAATGCTGTAGGAAAAGTGGGAGGCAGTTAGCAGGAACCAGGATATTGTTGGTTATTGACACTCTGGTCCTTTTCAAGGAAACAAATTCTCATGGCCATGACCTCATAAATTCTCTATCACTTTGCTTTTTATTCAGAATTTAAGTTATAAGATTAAAATGCATGGTCAGCACTCATCATTGTGAAGGGGACCTTGGAAAACTGATTTGAATATAAACCAGTATAGCAATGTCTCCTATTAGCCAAGCAAAGAAGATCTCGAGCAGAGTGAAGACATTTGCCCACGAAGGCTGCAGTCCTGATGAACATCAGTCCAAAGTTCCCGTGGTGTGGGGCGGGAAGGGACCACTCTCCTTCTCTAGCAATAGCGGCTGAGAAGAAAAAGATAAAGCAATTATTACTGGTTTGTCTACCTGCATTTGTAAGGAGCCTGAAACAGCTGCTCTGAGATTTGTGATTCTTTATTATTTCAGGGCTTTTCAACTCAGATGTCAGCAAAACTTGCTCTGATGCCTATATTTCACTGCTCATTAAATCATGCTTGGAAAGTATCAACTTGCAAAGACCTACGCTTCCATGATCTACATGGCCATTACCCTAAAAGTAGGATCCAAGGGCTGAAATTGCTTTTAAGAAGCCATTATGGGCCTGAGGGCGAATCCACTGGCTTTCATGACCCTGATATTGGTCCCTGTTTTCAAAAACATGTGAAGCTTTCCGCTCTCGCTTTCACAACATTACCCCATTTCCTGGACAGCTCTGTGCTATCTCGACCTACTTTCTTCTCTGCTGCTAATAACATGCTTTCTGCCTAAAACGTGCTTCTCTTTTTTTTTTTTTTTTTTCCTGCAAAGGCCTTCAGACAGTGAAAGGCATTTTAAATGTCAGGGATTAGATGATCTTCAAACTTCCCATTACTCTGAATTTTTAGATTACAAGTACTGAAAAGGAGACATTCCAATCAGCCTGAACTCCGTTGTTGAATTTAGAATAGGTCTGATTCTCCATACACAGCGTAAATCAGAAGGAAGTTCACTGAAATCAGCAGAATGCCGGGAGATTCAGACCAGAGTCTCAATTTCTTAAGTAGCTGAAGTAATTCCTCCCAAACACTTCCATCAGCATCTAGTTCGTAGTGAATCCCATCTGCCTCTGTCATGGCAGTATCATGTGTTTGCTAAATGACTGTGATTGCAAAAAGGCTTGGGAAAAGTGCTAAATCTCTGATGAGTGTGCAGGGAGGAGACTTATTTGCTCAAATGGATGTGAGACAAGGTTATCGGTTATGTCCCCTGCTATGTAGGTCTTTCGTCCTCACACTAATAAATCCAACTTGTGATGTTCAACTAGAGCTAATAGCATCTCTGCACAATGTGTAACATTATCTCTGTCTCCCTGCCCCTCAAAAAAATATTTGATGTACTTGAATGACCTAGTGGTATACCCATGAAGAGGGTCTCAGGTTTCAGGGACATATGAGTACAGGGAATTCACTTACTCAGACCTTCTTTCTGCCACAAAAAGATAGGGAATTATTAGCTCAACGGGATAAAACCTGACATTTCACTCTGTTTGAAATAGATTTTCAACTCTAGGAATGGTGTTCAAGCTTTTTGCCACCCAAAGTTCCCCCAGAGCAGTGAGTCACTCTAAGGTGCCAATTTTTCAAAATTACCCTACAAATCCCATTGGCACTTGTTTCCCTGTGTTCATGGCCCTGTGTGAGGCACGTTGCTGGAGAATGAAACTTCAGACTGATACCTGCCTTGAAAACACTCTGGAGGAGCAAGGAGTTCCCCAGGTTAATCGCATGCTGAGATTTGGGGCTTAAGGTTCTCCCTCTCGCATTTTTAAACATTACCTGAGTTCATCCTAACTCACGTTTTATTGGCAGTGGGTGATTGTAATGAGGTTCCTTTATTCATTATCCTTTCCTGTTGGACATCCCCTTCCCAGAGCAGGGTGGCAGACAAGGCCACAGGCCCCTTGGCACTCTCTTTGCATCCTCAGCCTCATCGCCAGTGGCAACTTTCAGGCACTACAGAAATGGCAGAAGATCGGGGTAGGAAAGGAGGAATGTGAACTCTGCCTCTGCCCATGGCCGACTGCCCTCCAAAAGGGACCCTGCTCTCTTGTTTCCAAACCCGGATCCTCCCATCCATCACCATGGCTGGGGATTAGGGGAGGACCCTTTGGGACCCCCCGTGCCTCGGAAGCAGCGCGATCTGGTCGTTCATCCCCACTCAGCCTTTTGACCACAGGAATGGGTCACAGCAATAGGCTGGAAGATTTATTAAAAGGAAAAAAGATATCATGCTGGCTCAAAGTCCAACATGAGCCAATTTTTTTGTAAAAGTTTCCTACAATAACTTTCTTTTCCTTCCAAAATATGATAACTTTGATTATTTATTGGAAACCGTATTTTCTTACCATAAATGGACCTTTGGAATATGAAAAATGTTAGCAGTGATTTAGAAAAATAGGCAAGCTAAAAAGGTTAACCAAAATATGGATATAAACTGTGGAAAGTTTTGTCTTAGAGAGAAAACTCCCATGTCAGCAGCAAACTGAGAGAGGGAGCAGACAGGAGAGCCCATTTTTCAAGAGAAAAGCTTTTTCTACAGGAAATCTCAGCTCACTCCTTCCAGGTTGGGCTTCCCCGTGATTTTCACTTGATCAGGAAGACATGGGCCAAGATCTCATTCATCATTTTCGTTCCTGTGGCCTCCTGCGACCAGCCCACTCTA